GAGTATAAATATTTAGGTGATTAAGTAATAATTTTATGAAAATAATATGACTTCTAGAAGGAGAATATTCTATAAAACAATTATACAGAAAAATGTGAATCATATAAAACTTTCTCAAGTTTCAATTAGCAATAATTGCTCCTTGGATAAACCTAATTGACTACAATACTGCCACTGCACAAAGCTTTATAAAACTTTCTTAAGTAAATGAATAATTTACTTTTAAGTTGAACTGAGACCCATTGTATCAGGGACAATGCTATGGCTTTGCTACAACAATATTAGCAAATAACTTGAAATGCTAAACGTTGCCCATGTGAGAGGAAACACAGAGCCATCCTCTGAAGTCTGGGGTGTTGACTGAGAATTAAAGCTGAAATGGTGTAAAAGTGGAAAATGGGCCCCTGCAGAATATTTGGAAACTGAATTATATTCCACTGAAATCCTCTATGGACATAAGTGCTAACACAGTCCCTTCTAGTAAAATGTGAGGTGATGCTGGAAGTCACTGGTACATACCTCACACAGCTGCAAGCTCAAGGCTTGCTCTTCATCTCTTGGTCAAGGCCGGGCAGGCGCCCAGCCTTCCTCTACCATGAAGCTGTGTTAAGTCCCCAGTCTCCAGGGCTGGAGCCTTATTCCTGAATCAGAATTCTTACTCCATTCTTTCATAAAGTGCAGTCTTAGAGTGTGAAGGGTAACAGGAAAATGATGTCGATGCTGCTGGCTTCTTTATTTTCCCCAGAAATACTGTTTCCGATCCAGAGTCCCTATTTGTCAGTCTTTTTTGCTCTTCCATTACCTTGGGAAAGTAAGGTGATAGGATTTTGGTGCTCAGTTACTCAGAAATTTTACCTGTGATATATACCTCATAAGTGAAACGAATGTATGTTAACATATTAAGATGTTGCAACAAGCAGTTCCTGCTCATTGTCATATTACGTATATATGTACATATATATTTGTACATATGTATATATGTACATATATATTTTGAGACAGAGTCTTATTGTGGCACACTCAGTACAGTGCTGTAGTACTCACTACATCCTCAAATTTGGGGGCTGAAGTGATCCTCTTGTCTCAGCCTCCCAAGTAGCTGGAACTACAGATGCCTGCCACAAAGCCCACCTATTTTTTTAGAGACAGGGTCTCACTCTTTTTGCCCAGGTTGGTCTCAAACTCCTGAGCTCAGGCAATCTATCTGCCTCGGCCTCCTACACAGTGCTAGGATGACAGGTGTGAGCCACCGTGCCCACCCATATTTTTCATAACTAGAATTTAAACTCCTAGAATAAAAATGTGCTTTAGTTATTGAACCAAGTTAATTCTTTTTACATTATGCAACCACATAACCTGTTGTGATAGACTCCAAAGTGACTCTTGATTGTCCCAACTTCGTGTTGTTTATTCTCTTGTGTGATGTCCTCCCTTTGAGTGTGGGTAAGAACTGTGTTTCTAGCCCAAGAGCACGGTAAAAATGATGGCCTGTTATTTTCATCATTATCCTACCTAAGTTTGTAACTCTTGCCTCAATAGCAGCCACATTCCACTGGCTCTTACTGACTTTAATGAAATAATCTGTCATACAGAGAAGGCTAAGTGGCAAGGAACTGTTGGGGACCAACCAGTGATGGGTAGAAAAGAGCTGAGGTTCTCAACTAGACAGAAAATGTACTGCCAAAAGCCACTTAAGCTTGGAGATGAGCCCTTCCTCTGGTCAGCCTCAGGTAAGCCCCCAGGCTTGGTTAATACTCTGCTTGCAGTTTTGTGAGAGAAGATAAAGTCCAGGACCAAGGCAAACCATACCGCGACTCTGTACCCACAAGTACTGTGATAATTTTTTTATGTAGCCACAGATAAACGAATACCACTCTTCATATAGTTATACTTATTAACTCTATTAGCTCTATTAATTGCCCTATGTTTTATAAAATGACTGTTTCTTAATTGATATCAACTAAAAAGCTTATTGGATGCAAATAAATCGTCAAACAAGCTTATTTGTTATCTCACAGAGTCTCACCTGAAGAGATCTTTTCAGTCCACATAAGCGTATCAAGAGCGAGGAACAGAGAGAGTAAGTCCTATGATGGAATATCAGAACGAGTCTCCTCCATTTAGGACTCAGTCTGGTCTTCCTACCATACAGCAGGAACAGTAACTCAATTAATACACTCATGCTTTTCTTCCTGATATTTGATAGTTAATTAGTATCTCTGAATCTATACTTATCTTAAAAAATCATTCCCACTAAAATAAATAAATGCATGAAGCACACATAGAAGGTCTCTCCTCTTTGCAGAAGAGTGGGCAAACTCAAAAAAAGGGAGTCACTGGATCTTGCTGGGCATTGATTGTGTAGGTAAATGATTTCTACTTGGTGAAAACAGTAGAAGGGTAACAAAAGAAAAAGTTAAACTAATTATGATCAGTGGAACTATACACACGCAGTCCAAATGGAAAAATGAATAAATAATATAGACAGTCCTCAAGTTATAAACACCCAACTTACCATGAAACTCTCACTTAGGAACAGAAAGTATTACAGGTAGTAGGCGAATATGCCTGTTCCAGCTTTCATACAAATTCAACTAAAGAACAACTTACAGAACCGACCTTGTTCATAACCTGGGGATTGCCTGTATCTACATTGAGTTTACACAAACGTAGGTGTGTCCCACCCTTTCATCAATCTTTATTATTTTTGACTGTACTTGATAGCTCTATCACATTACATAATAACTTTAAATAAGGAATAAAGGAACAGAACAACATATGCATATCTGTGTGTGCCAAAAAAATGTATACCATAGTAAGTGAT